TTGCTTCTATTTAGTATAATATGAATGGCAAGAAACACTTTTCTTGCAATTCTTGCACTTTTCTAGTGTTAATAAACAGGAAGATTAATGGCTACATGTGCTAAGTACTAAAATACTAAAATACAAATAAAAAGAGGTGGTTAAAATGGCTAAAATTGCATTACCTTAGGCATCAATTCTTTGTTTGGGGTTCCCAAAGCTCCATATGCTAATGCAGATCCATTTGGAAGGATTTAAGTCTCTGAATGTTGCCTGAACAACTTTCAAATGCAACTAGTTTAATTACTGATTAGTTACACTGGCACAGGACTACATTTAAGCCTGCAGTGGGAAAGATAATGCAGTCCTGTTAGCAGTGGCCTCAAGAACACCTTTTATTTGCTGTAACATTCAGTGTGAAGATGCTCCCTAACTTTGATGCCGATGCTCGATCCCATCAGTACTTTATCACCCCGCACGAAAATAGCTGTGATTTTGAAGGCCTTATATTTTTACTGCAAGACCGCAGTCTCCTCTGCCCCGTGCCGCATCGATTTTCTGCTCTGGAAACCTGCCGTTTCCTCTCTCAGGTGCAGCTGGGATCCCAAAGCTATGATATCTAGTGCTCACTACACAGCAGTATGAAGTATGAAGGCCAGCCGGAACGTAAATACGTGAGTCTGAGATGCTCACACAGTGAACAGTGCCCTGAACATTCAAACATATGAAATCCCAGCTAAAGTCCTCGAATAGGCAAATGAGAGATTGTATTTTGATAGTGGCCAGCTCTGGAATGGCTTAGTTCAGTCAGAGAGATGCTTGACTGCCCAAATTTCTCTCACTTTCCGACTATTTGGTAATTTCTATTCCGTGACTATTTGTATTATCGGTGTTGCTAAGCCTCTTAGTACAGAATGTGTAACACTCAGATATGAGCTGTGATACTTTGTTCTTTTCTATTTCAAGTACAGCACACATTTCATTCGATAGTTAAAGAGGGCTGAAATCAAGAATAGATTGCTTTGCTAGTATGTTATACATTGCTCCACATGCTGGCTTGCTGCATATATTTTAATCATTTGTGAACTGCAAAGTTGTTGTTGGTGAAACCTTAAAAATGCAAAGTGTCTATATGAAATAGATAAAATAAATAAATGTATAAATACGATAATAAAGTCATGTGAGTTAATAAATTAAATATTAATAATAATTTGTCATTTATTTATTTACTTAGGTTTGCTCCTTCATAGACTTAGAGCTATATAGCATATAACATTCATGGAGTTACTATTGTAACATTTCAGCATTTTTTTTCTCTTCATATGCTGGAGTGATTAACTATAATCATAATGGCAATACTGGGCTTTATTTAATGGAGATAACAACTAATAATAATCTCCACCAACCAATATTACACAGACAGCTAATTAAAACATAAATTTCCTGTTTCAGCAGAGCGCAGCATGCAGTGACAGCAGAGTAAGAATCATTTTAAACAAGGCAGATTAAACTATAGACCCTGAAATTCATCTAGCTTGTTTGTTATCGTCAGTGCATTTGTTACATTGTCATTAACTGGTGCCGTTATCTGTCATGTCAGTTTTTTTGGATGCAGCATTCTTCACATTAGTTAGTACAATGTGTGAAACATTGCAGTGAGCCTTTTCATGCAACACAAGAATGAATTTCTGTGTAAAATGTTTATAAAACCATTTTTACTTAAATTGTCACTTCTAATTGAATGTGATAGTTTATGCAAGAATGGGTTTATGTACAATTACAATGATATTCTGTTCCTGGTTTAATATATGAGGTGTTTTGTTGGTGTGGCTTTGTATTTATTTCCTTTTTTAATTGAAAGTCTTTGGGTCTTACCTACAGTGGAGATCAAAATTAGAGAACAATCTACAATTTCCTAAATTTCAAGGTCACTGCTTAGTCCTATTTGAACATATCCTAACAGGAGTAGAAGGGCAGTTTTTAAGAATATTTCTTAAATGAATTGTATTCTGAAGCAATTACAATGACACTAATTCAAGTCCCCCCAAAAGGCTGGTTGTCCACGTAAGACAAATGCAGAAGAGGACAGGATAATATGAAGTCTCACAATGGAGAATCGGTTCAAGACTGCTGTTGGAATTGCTTGCCAGTTCAACAATGAACAGGGTATGGATCTGTCTCGGCACGTTTAAGAGAAGATAACTGAAAGCACACTCTGCAGTGACCAAGCCTCTCATCAGCAGAAAGAATCAAAAGACTAGGCTCACCTTTGCTGAGGAGTCCTGATCTAAACCAGACTGAAAATCTCTGGAAAATCCTTGGTGACAAAGTTATGGCTAAGAAACCCACTACAGTTACCGAACTATGGAAGAGACAGGAAGAAGAGTGAACCAAGATCACACCAGCGCAGTGTGAGAAACTAGTGATGTCCTGTGGCCACAGATGTGATGAAATCATTCAAAGCAGGGGCCTTTTTGACAGCTTTAACTCTCCAAAATTTTTGTTGTAATCTTCTTTCATGCTACAGTGGTTACTATTCTCTAATTTTGATCATGGAGTTTTCCACAAAATAAAGTTTTTTGTTGAAATGCCAGTCAAACTTGTTAGTGGATCAGTGGTACCTACCTACAGCTAATATTCCTTCAAAGCTTTAGCGATGAAGATTAACAATATTTCAGAAAAATGCAAGTATTTATAGATTGTTGTCTAATTTTGACCTCCATAAATTTGACCTCTTATTTCAGTTAGTTGCTGAAGCAACATTTCTAATTTTTGTTTGGTTAAATATTTTAGTTTTTATCTAATATTTATGATTTATTCCATTTCAGCTTTATTACAATCATTAAAAACGTTTTAATAATTGGTTTTAGTTGAGAGTAATAACCCTGTTCTGTATGCAAAAAAAGGCTCTTGCACAAATATGTCTGTCGGATTCACAGACACATGCACACATACATTTGTTCATACCATCTTTCTAATGTTTATGAATACATATAATTTTAAATGAGATATGAGATATGTGTGAATGCATGCTTAGTGAACGCGAGCCTGACTTTCACTGCAGTGAGTCATTGCAGCAGTCCCACTCAGCTCTCCTCTGTTCCTGTGTGCTTTCAGGTAGAGCCAGTCTGCATGGCAAAGCGTCTCTGCAGATCGACCATGTGCGCTCAGAAGACCAGGGCTGGTACGAGTGCAGGGTCCTCATGCTGGAACAACAATACGACACCTTTCACAATGGCAGCTGGGTTCACCTCACAGTCAACGGTGAGGCCCTCGCCACTCTCACCACACTAGTACTGTGAAAGACACACACACACATCTATATCTATCTATCTATCTATCTATCTATCTATCTATCTATCTATGCCATTCATTCTGTCATTCCATCCATCTGTTCATCCATCTCAAGTTGTTTGACTCATTGCAGTGGTTTGTGTATAAGGCTTTGCTTATATCTGCATATCTGAATGTATGTACTCAGTTTCTCAGAGACTCTGCATACAGAGCAGGATGGACCGACATGCATTTCTCTCTCTCTCTTTCGGTATGCTCTCTCTCCCCCCCCCTCATTTTTAATGGATGTCTGCTTTTGGGGGTGGAGTAGGACTAATCGCGGCTTGATTTCATATTCATTTCTAATATCAGCAGTAAATCAGAGATGTGAGGAGTGGAGGAGGATGTGACCGTCTCTTACCACTCATGACTGGCTGCTGCTGTGACTAATATGTGTGGTAGACCCAACAAAAAACAGCCTTCATGCTCTTGCCACAGAAATGAGCAATGTACTCCCTTGTGGTCTAGAGTCTGCTGTCATTGTTTCCATCAGAAATCGTTATTGCCATCTCCCTTGTTTAATCCAATATTTTGTTCTTGTCATACAGTGGACAATGATGGGTAATAATTAGATTTTTGGTTAATTATTAACTCCATGTCTGTAATCTTTAAGGACTTCTATATGTTAGTTAACTCCTAAATGTTGACAAAAAGGAAAATGAATACAAAATACTGATCCTCTTTTTCAAATTCTCTCCAATCCCACCTGAAACAGTCTAGAAAGTAGCAAATTCGAGTTCATGGCTATGACATAACGTAAGCCTGTTTAAAAATAAAAGGGACTATCATTTGAGAGGCCCTGCCGAAACTTCCTGTTTTGTGCTTGTCAAGTGATTTCATGAAGCCTACACTCAATATTATGATCCTTTGGGTATGGGCCAGCATTCAAAAGAAACCCAATGGCCTGCTCTGAGATCTGCATGCCCTTATGTCTAATAAACAGAGTAATATTTCACCAGGCAGCAGAGCCCTCATCATTTCCATTACACTAATGGAGATGTCTTCCATGGTGCCAAACTACAGAGGCAAATTTGGGGTAGCTCAAGGCTTTGGTCATGTCATGTTCCTCTCTCTCATTCCATTTGAACATCACGTTTTGCCTGATCTATTATTTATGGGCATGGTTCAGCGCCGCTGGAAATATATTATCTCCTCCACGGTGAGTGTTTGCATTTTATTAGATGATGAATTTAATACGATCCAATAAAACAATATGTAAACTATCATGATTCACAGCTCAGTAATCATTGCCTGGGGGTCAATATCCAAAAGGCCCTCGGTCGCATATTAATAGTATCGTAACGCCACTGTAGGCTTAAATCAAGTGCTGATGCAGCAGATTAATTCCAATACTGGAGCCTTTTGTATTTAGCTGCACTGCATACTGATTCTCACTGTACATCACCTTACATGTATGAGCTGCAGTGGCAGAGGAATTAAAGATAATTATGGCCATCATTAAGGAACCAGTGTCTCTTTTCATGTTGGTGAGAAATCGATAGCGTATGCCTTGTTGGTACGTTGGTGATAAGCAACTCTATTGGTCCTTTATAGTGTCCATTTATTGAATCACATCCCCAAGTGAGATATGTGTCCATTCAGTGAACAGCAGCAGAGAGGAAGTGGTAAAAGTGTGCAGTCAATGATCGTGGTCGTCCTGGCTGAAATTGCACAGGAGGGTTTGAGCGCTCTACTCGAGGAGAGGTACAGGTATATTTGGAAGAAAGTCACGATTAAGGTCCCCTGAAATGCTTAGAAACACGCAGCGTTACTCTATGTGTTGACGTCATTTTAACTGAAACAGGAAGACAGGGCGGGACATATCAAGCAGCCCCACCCCTTTTTAAAATAGCCAATAGAGTTTGTTTATATCACAGCTTGGGCTAGAGCCGTTCAGAGCCGTTGAGCTCCATAAAGCCGCATTTGGGAATGCCAGCCACAATCTCATCCATATTGCTATAAAATATAGCATTCTGTGTAGAATTCAAATTGCTCCGATACATTTTGTGGTCTGCGCCGACTCGCGCATGTGATCCGCTCCGTGCTATCGTGTCTCTGGACCGGAGCAGAGTGTCAATCACTTTGTTTTGGAGTTTTATAAACCTGAAGAGAAATATTAAACTATAAAAAAACCTGTAAAGTCAGATATATGCCAATGAGTACATGTTTGCTGCAGTGATGCGCGTAGTTTGCATATCTCTGCGTTCAGTTATGTTGATTAATCACCTGATATTTATTTGGCTGCTGTCAAACGGTATAATTAGCACAGCGCTGTCTGCTCTCTGTAAGCACAGGCTTTTTGTATATTTAACATATGCTTGTGAGGTGAGACTTATGCATATTCCAAACTTCAAACAATGACACCAGCAAGGGTAACAGTCTGCTGCACCTTGCGTCCATGTTGAAAGTCCACAGCCGTTCCCTTGCAGAAATCACTGTGGCTTATTTGGAAAGTGCACAGTAGCCATTTCTCCATTTCAGAGCTGCGGCGGAAGAGGCGAGAGGCACGATTGAAGGGTGTATTATTGCATGCGGGGTGTGTGTTTGTGTATGTGTGTTTTTGGCCCGGGGTGAATGAGTTCAGTGTCTGCCTCGTCTTTTTTCAGCCGGAGAAATGTCACCTGTGCAGCTGTGGCGGGTGGCGCTTGTGCGGACATCTGTGAGGGTTTATTTCACAGCATCCTATTTCCTCTTTACTGCTACAGCGGCCATTCATGCCCTCCCTCGTTTGCATTCACGGTCAGTTCAGAGGTTCACTCAGTCACGTCCCCTCACACACACTCCTGGCCCTTAGGTGCTTTCCAAAATGTCGATATCAGTGATTGCGGCGTGGTTTTTACATGGTGTGTGGTTTTTATATGTCGTCAGGACGTTTTACAATAAAGTGCATATAATAGCCTTTTGGCTAAATGGCTCATGGTCGGATTTGCAAGCAATGCAGCTTTGAATCTAAACGACATAATGCCTGCTTGAAATTCACTACATTTGCTTTGATTGCGGATGTGTGAGTGACCTGCAGCCATGGCAGTTTTTGACTGAAATGAAAAAGGTTTATATTGCTCCTCCCAGTAGGTTTTGGTGTGAAGTTTTTATGGCATATGACCATTTTATGACTTTTAATAAGCATGCATTGTCATGCCTTTAAAGATGATTCTCTAAGGAATAGTCAATTAGCTGACTTGGTCAGTTTGTAATCCAAGGCTTTATGTGCATTTATTATCTGGATACTTGAAAGTCTTGCTGTTGGAAATAATAAGTAAATAACTCAAAATCAGTTTTATAATCTCCAACCTTTTGCTTGCTCTTATTGTTTGATATGCCTTTTCCTCCAAAATAGCTCGTCAAAACCTGTAAACCTATATTTTGTATATCAATTCACTCATATAAAATGTGTAGGCTAAGTATACCCATTATCCCACCAAAATCTAAGTTTAGGTGTTTTTCATAGATATTGACATTGTTTGTAAGAAAAATTATTTGTTAAAATGCAAGATTTATCTCTCATTTGAAAATATAATAATTAACTGATGTACTGTTTAGAATATTAAATTAAGATATTTTATCAATAAAGTCAAAAGTCAGGCATGGGCTTAATTGGTACTTTGGCACCATTTAAGCCTGCATTTCAAATAAGCCCACATAATTATTTATTCACAAAATATAAAAAAAATATAGATTTTTTTTTTATTGATGAGTTAGAGCTCATCACCTGTACCAATAACATTCAACATGAAAAACATACAGTATGCAAAGCACAACACTTTTACTGTGCCAACATTATAAAGGTGACATGCCTCTTCTATGATTTTTGGACAGGTGCTGTAGTTTTTTCTCATTTTTGTCATTTGTCATCTAAATATAGCTGTAATTTAAGGTAGTAAGTAAGATAAGGGAAAATGTTAGTAAGGTAAAAGCACACAAAGAACTGTTATCGTTAAACACTTTCACTCAGAAAACTGATCAAAGTTTGTAATTAAAGGGATTCTTCATTGAAACATAAAGTGGGCTTAAATGGTTCTACATTGAGTAATGGTAAAAAAAATGTATTTATTAAAATAATTTGCTCTACAAAACAATTTATGATTTATTTATTTGTAAATTAATGTAAAATTAATCATAAAACATTTAGTGTTTCTAGTTCACATGCTTAATTCTTTGGCAGTCTATCTTTCAGTTAGGCTAGTGGTTTGACCTTGAGATTAACTTTGTGCGCAAGTCAATAAAACTTGATAAAAAATTATATAAAATTATGAAGTACTATTTGTTCATACACAAAAAAACAATACATTTATCTCTTATTTGTGCAGATTGCATTGACATGTTGCAAGGATGTTCTGGATGAAAGTGACACTACAGAGATTCTGGTAGTTCTTGTTCTCTGTTTCTGCAGCCTCTGCCGTCTCACACGCTCACCATGGGGACTGAGCATGTGAGAGTATTAAATATAAAAGAATCTGGACTCAACTTGTCCTGTCTTTGTTTCTGTCCCAGCGCCCCCTACGTTCACGGACACGCCACCGCAGTATGTGGAGGCGAGGGAGGGTGGCAGCATTACTCTGACCTGCACTGCCTTCGGAAACCCCAAGCCGGTGGTCACCTGGCTGAGAGACGGGGATCAGCTGACCAGCAACAAGAAATACACGGTAACTGTGTTCTGGTTTAATATTTTTTTCTCAATCAGTGACTTGACTTGTTTGACTTATTTTTCCATTAAAAATATCTGAATAACCTGAAAACAAGAAACAATGTTTCTTCCATGGGATAAAAAAAAGTTAACACCAACTTTTTATCTCACAATCTATACTTTTTTTCTCAGAACTGCAGTATATATACAGAACTGCAGGATTGCCATAAACGTCTGATTACAATAAAGTCAGAACTCGGAATTACGATAAAAAATAAGAATTATGAAATAAAAAGTCAATTTCCTGTTTAATTTTTATTCTTTGTGGAATTAATTGAGAGATATAAACAAGTTAGCAAGAAAAAACTCAGAATTGCGAAAATTTTATTTAATTTTTTAAAATCTGAATAGTGTTTAGAGTTTTTATCTCACAATTTTGACTTTTTTCCCCCTCAGAATTGTAAGTTGTAAGATAAAATTTGCAATTATTTTTTAAATCTTATTTTATTTAATTTTTTTTATCTATCTCATGGTGGAAGTGGGCTTTCATGGTTTTCAGCATTGATAATAAATGTTTTTGAGCGCCTAATCAGCATATTAGAATGATTTCTGAAGGATCATGGGACACTGAAGACTGGAGCAATGACGCTGCAAATTCAGCTTTGCATTACAGGAATAAATTACATTACATAATATTTCACAATATTACTGTATATGCCTTGGTGAGCATAAGAAATGTATTTAAAAAATGGCGAGGTTGATGCACAAACCAAGCAAATAAAAAAATTTGATGAAATTATAATAATAATGAAATTTGATGAAATTATAATAATGATGGGTCATATAATGCGATTTCAATTTTTCCTTTCTCTTTGGAGTGTTACAAGCTCTTGGTGCATAAAGAAGATCTGTAAAGTTGCAAAGACTAAAGTCTCAAATCCAAAGAGATATTCTTTATAAAAGTTAAGAGTCAACCACGCCTACCTAAAACGGCTCGTTCTAACACGCCCCCACATGTCTACGTCACGATGTGGGAAGATTTGCATATCGCCGCCCAAATGCAAAAACGCAAAGAAAGAAGGTGTAACTTTTATTCTCGCTGTAGTATTGTTGTTGCCGCCGCCACCATGTCGTGAAGGCACTGTGTTTCGTTGTGAAAGCGAAACTACTTTGTTTGGCCTTCCAAAAGAGGATGATATCCATGCCTAGAGCTGACCCGTGCTGGTCGCTGAGGAAATACATCAACTT